ACTTACAACCTCAAACACGTTTACGGATTAGCTTCTAATCCTCCCAGGGTAGTCGTTCGTACTTAAATGCTTCAATTTTGCCTTCGACCGATTTAATAGTCTTCAATACCTGGCATGAAATGCCATGAGTTTTGAATGTCCAGTAAACATATACACACCCCATCCCATTTTCCCAATCCAATACACCATCTCATTTAAAACAAGTAAGTAACAAAGCATGATATTCCAGTCAATAACAAGGATTACAGGGTTAGATGTTAGTATTCTAGAAATCCCCCGAAGAGATTTCATCCTCCCAAACCGCAAGAATTGGACACTAGACTATTCGAAACTCCTCATTTTGCTGCTTTGTTACAGAACTTACCTCAGATGCCTACCAACGTTATATACCGCGTAGCGCCAATCGCAGGGCCTCAAAAGGGATGACAAAAAGAAAAAGGTTTTATCACCTTAAATCTAACCTTATCCTTCAAAAAAAAAAGTTTTATCCTCCTGAATGTCCCATCTAGACCCAACCTTATCTCACCAATCAAACCGTCGTAAAGAGTCCGAATAGGTCCGTTCTATTATAGAGTTTACACGACAAATGCTTGCGCAAGACTTAATCTTCAATTAGGAAGCATATCCCATCAATCCATATATAACACATTATCATCCTTCACTATTAAAGTGATTGAAACCCCATTAGCCGCCCAATTAAGTTTTCCGTTTGGATTAATGTTTTAAGTCAAGTTAGAACAAACTTAACAAGATAGTAATATCCACATAAGCATGAGCATCATTAAAATGAAGAAGATAAGGAACATAACCATAACACATGCTATATCATGCCAAGACATGATCATAAACTAATAAGCATATTCATGAACATGAGCATAAAACACCCATGCAAAACCAAATTTATAGATTCAGTACCATTTAAAGATTAAAATCGAAAGGGCTATTTCAGATTTTTCATGAACTCAGCCTTTCTTTGGTTCGTAGAGAATTTAATCCAGTTTTCAGAACATTTTTTGAAAATGTGATAGCTTTTCTAGATTTTTAGTTATTTAAGAAATGCTCCAGCGCTGTCCAGATTCGTCGACCGTTACAAAAATGGTATTTTCGTACAAGCTGCTCACTATTTTTCAATGAAACCAATTTCCTTGAAAACTAACTCTTTAAGGAAGATTTTTACATAAAACTGAGGTCCAGAAGATTTTTCTACATTTCTTTTATAATTTTTGAAAGTTTGCTGTAAAATATATTTTTCATGCACAACACTCAAAATAAGAAGATTGGTGAGAAAATAGGCCAACTAAGGGAAATTTTCCACTTTTTTGTGACGAAAACATACTAAATAATGTATCAATAACTCAGTTTTTTATAGTGGTGGTATGCCTTTAAAAAGAAATGTGAGATATGGGAAGAAAAAAATAGTTTTGCATTTAGTAAGAGGAAATATGAATAGAAGAAGGATTGAAGTCCAATTTATCCACTTTGAACACATGAACATCATTACAACACATTTGAAAATATGATTTTAAACCTCTAATAACATGTATTTGAAAAAGGAAAGTAAAAGATAGGGTTGTGTTGTGACTTACTTGATTGCCTAGTGAAGTGCTTGCACAATTTCCTTCTCTTTTCCTCTCCTCCACTACCAAAGTTCGCTCTCTTCCTCTTCTTTCTTTCTCTCAATTGAATGTGTAGGTGTGTGAGTGTATGAGATGTGTAACATGTGGAAGGCGGTGGTGTTTTTATAATAAAATTAGTGTAAAAGGTCCAAAACGCCCATTGGTTGGAATGGAATGAAATTGAGATGTGTTTAGTTGAAATGTAATGGAATGAGGGCTCATTAGGGAGCCTAATCATGTATTAAGGAATGATCTAGTTAGGGTTAGGCTTAAGTAGAACCAAGATAGTTACAAGCACAAGACAACTTTCCTTGATTTGGGGAGACCAATGATACTTTTTCCATAATTTAAGGAATTTGTCTCCAAAGTACCTATGATTGTAGCCCAGAGAGGGCCATGGCTGGCCATGTGCTAGATTTGAGGAGATTTTTGTTAATTATATATATATATATATATGAAGATATTTGTGTACAAAATTATTTATTTAAGAAAATTACAAGTATATATATGTATATATGTGTGTAATGGTACTAGTTTGAGTCAAAATGTGATTCAAGAAAAATGTGAGGGCATTGGGTTTAATCTATGAATTGGAACATTTATTTTAGTGTCAAATTAAATTAAATTGGGGTTAGAAAATCTAATTTGGTTTGGATTTCTTATTTCAAATAAAAACGCAATCAACCGACGAACGTGATAAAGACTGGAAAAACCTAGGGTTTTCAAGTGGTAATTTCATATTTAGGAAGTCAATTAATCAGTATTAGGGTATTAGAAATGATTTCTAAGTTATCAAAATCGATTAGGGTTTGTAGGTTTTGTTGGAGCATGTATTTTGATCATAAGGTTGCAATTAATTAAGAAACTAAGGGACTTCAAGGAAATAATTTAAAAGTAAAGGATTCTTAAGAAAATAAAATTTTCATGGGCCTCACAGAAGTAGTGACGGGTTGTAATGTGGCCTCGTTCGGAAACAAATTATTTTAGTAATTTTTTAATTTTTTACGAAAAGATGTGCAGAAAAGTAGAGAGAGTGGTGTGACAACTTACACTGACTTTTTGACTTTTTAGTTAAAATGTTTGGTCCCCAAACGAGGTCTCATTATAAATATTGAAGCTGTCAAACGGCGCTACCAAGATCTTGAAATTGGTCGACAATAGCACCATAATGATTGTGAGGTGAGGCGAGAAAATAAATGATTATGGTTTCTCATTTAGATAAGAAAAGAAAATAAATGATTATGATTCTCATCATTATATTTGGATGAAATAAATAAATAAATAAAAAGTTGATTTCTCACCTATATTGTTTGGATAGAGTAGATAAGAGAAAATAAAGAAAAACGTTATATTTCATTTTATCAAAATAACATTCCATATTAATAAATTACGTTTTTTCATAAGGATAATTTTAATATTTTAGAAAATTTTCATTAAATCCAATTAATTTTTCACCAAATCTCATCACTTTTGGTGAGAAACAAAATATAAGTTTGGTGAAAATCATTTTCTCATAATCTTTTATCATTTCTCACCATTTTTCACATATTTAACCACCAAAACAGACATTGGGGTGTGGCCTAATGGTCTAGTAACTACACCGGGTGTAGTGAGTGAAAGGTCAAGGGTTTGAGTTAATGGAGTAACAGTGACCCTTCAGTTGTAATCTAACTATACTAATATACTAACACTATCTGAGAGGAGAAAAAAAAATATCATCAAAACAAGTAAAGAAATTTCTTATTCTCATTATTTATTTTATTTTCGCACCAAATCTCTCTATCTAAAAGGGTTGGCCTAGTGGTGTATGTTTGGGTCTTAGGAGTTTGCTCATTTTTAGGTCTCAGGTTCAAAACCTCTTAGGTGCTATCAATTCTTGTGTTGGGCCATCTGAGATTGGTCGAGATGCGCGACACCCTATGTTGGACTATTTTGGAAAGATTGTTATAATCATCTTTTTGATAAAAAGCTGCTTATAAACAATTTTTTTATAAGAGAGTGAATTATAACCTACTTCTCAAAAGAGGCCGTTATCAAAAAAAAAACCATTATCAAAAAAAAAAAAAAAAAACGAAATAATAGTTAATTTGAATTGAGCCGTTAAAATATTCACATTTCAAATTTCCCTATGATTCAAAACACAACAATGCTAAGTAGCTTAAAATTTTGTGACTCAAATGGCTCAAATCATTCAAAACGACGTCGTTTTGAGTGTAAATGAGTGTAAAACGACGTCGTTTTGACAGATTTGAGCCATTTGAGCCACAAAATTTTGAGCTACCAAACATTTTCCTTCAAAACACGAGCCCTTGGTTCTTGAGCTCCTATACAAACTCAAAATAAAAAATAAAAAATAAAAATTATATTGGCTTATCAAAAAAAATTTCAATCTCTCGAATATTTACTCTTAATTACAAAAAATATTGTGATTAAGTTGTTTTACGGGAACATGTATTTAAAAACCACAACGAAACATTTTAAAACAAATTAAAGTTAAAAAATCAATCATAATTAGAGAGAAAGATAAGAAATAATAAGCAAAATTATAAATATATAAATAAAAAAAAAAGCAAATATAAAGAGTGAAAAAAAAAAAAAGAAGAGATAGGGTGATAAGGATTGTGGTGAGTTTGAATTTATGCCCCGTTGTTACCAATTTCACGTCATACTCCTGTAAACAAAGGTTTGTTTTGGTATGTAAGTTAAAAATTAATTTTTTTGATTTTTCTTGTTTTTAAATGTGTAAAATAGTAGAGAAGTGATATAATTCAAAAGAGGTTAAAAGTTAAAAAACTGGTTTATAACCTCTTGTCAAAAGAGGCCAAAGAATAGGTTCCAGCAGAGTGGTGCATCGAGTGAACCCTCCGAAGATTTAGTTAGCTTTTTTTCAATATTATAAATCTTTTATTTATCCTTCTTTTTTTTCATCCCCGTACTTTAGGCGTAAATCCTCTATTTATAGGAGTTTATTCTCTTTTCTTGTAATCACCTTTTGACAAGTTTTATCTTGGCATGCATGTATTTTGCTGATGCTGACAACTCCTTATCGACTTATGCGTGTTTGGCAGATGCAAATTTGTAGCACCATGCGATTGACATCTTTCTTGCTTCTTACCAAAGCAATGTCGATGACTTTAGGTATTAATTCTAGTAACCACAACGATGAATAGTTAAATATTTTTTTTATTATTATTTTTTATTTTTAGATGCACTCAAAGGTCAAAAAGAGTTGATGAAAAAATGGAAAAATTCACCAAAAATAAATAAATTTGATGAACAAGCAAAAAAAACTCAAAAATTAAACCAAACATATTTCTGTAATTAAGTTATTTCACAGGACCTGTATTTGGAAAAACAGCGAAACATTTTAAGCAAATTAGCTAAAAAAAACCAACCACAGAGAAAGACCAGGGAGGAAGCGAAATGCAGATATAGAGAGAGAAGCAAAAATAAAGTGCAAATCTAGAGAGAGAGAGAGAGAGAGAGAGAGAGAGAAGGTGATGACAATGGACAGAGAGACAGAGCTAGAGAGTGTAATGTACACAAACTGTTTGTTATTAGGGCTCGAGCCTTCAATCATCGGCATCAGAGCCAACAATGTCTCTCCTCGCTTTGGACTCTTCCGCCACTCCAACCCCAAATTAGGCGAACAGCTTCTTTACTTCATATTGTCTTCTCTAAGAGGCCCTGTTCAATCCGCAAAAGTAATCTCTCAATTGCAATTCCATTTGATTTGATTTCGATCTGTTTTGTTGCTTTTTCTAACTCTGAGATCTTCCAGGACTTCGATAGAGTTTGGCCAATTTTTGATTCCGCACAGTCCCGCGACTTTCGGAAGGTAATTTTGTTCATAATTATCTTTGTTTACTTGTTTTGATGTGGATTGATTTGTTTGTTTTGTGTTTGTTAGGTTGTGCAAAGTATAATAAGTGAGCTTGAATCGCAAGGGGCGCTACCGAGGAGCAATTCGAGGATTTCGTCCCTTGCTACTTGCTGTGGACCAAGGTGGGTTGCTTAAAAAGTTTCACTTCAATCAGTTGTACCATTGTTTTGTTGGAACCTTTACGCTGTGTCTGTGTTTGGTTGGAGAATTTGAGGAGTGATTTGGAAATAGAAAGGAAAAATGTGTGTGAAATTAGGTGAAATATATATATTTTATTTATATTTTACCTAACTTTTTCTTTTTCCTTTCCAAATTCCTTTTTAAATCTCCAACCAAACACAACATTAAGGAATGGAATGGAGTGGAGTGGAATGAACATACCATTAAAATATTCATGTTTATTTTACCAAAAATAAATAAATAAATAAATGAAAAATGCATGGCAAATGGAAGTATGGTTCACCATTACAGGGTAATGATTATTCCACATGAGAGTCTAAGGAATGATAATTCCAATGCATGTTTGTTTCACTGGAATGGAGTGATCATTCCATTAAAATATTCATTTATGGTTTACCAAAAAATAATGAATAACAGATTGCAAATAGAATTATCATTCACCATTACAATTGTAATGATCATTCCATATGAGAGTCTGAGGAATGACTATTCCATTCCATTCCATTCCATCTCATTCTAGTGAACCAAATAGAGCATTACTTCTTTACCTGCGATCTCTTGATGATTTTTTGAGATGTATTAACATTATTATTAGTAGTGTTAGTAGTAGTAGTAGTGGTAGTATGCTATTAGAATTAAGGTTTGTCTCAATGACGTTGTTGTTTGTTGCATAGGTCAAATTTGGAATTGTGATATGTAGGGCGTGTGTTAGCAAAAACTAGTTCACATGCATTTTTGTATGCAAATTTTCGTTGAAATGCTCGCGAAACATAATTTTAAATGTGTCCTTCAACATGCATTGTATAATGCATTGCGCTCGAAGTTGTTAATAAGTTTCATATGCTCACTACAGATTTGTGGAGCTCTTGTGGCAACTTTCTTTGCATGCTTTGCGGGAGGTTCATAGACGAACATTTCCAGTTGATGTAGCTTCTAACCCATTGCCGGCTTCATTGACAGATGTATCTTTTTCGCATGCAGCTACACTATTTCCTGTAACAAAGGTAATTCTGATTATTAAATCCTTTTGCAAATGTAACAATTAAAGGACATGTATTTTATTGGATAACTTTTCTGACATGGTCAACTTCAATGATATTGTAAATAAAAAAAATTGCAACTCATTTGATTGACATGGATAAGAGACTAAGAAGCATGGATACGGACACGTTTCACATACACAACGCGATATTTCTCTATTGGCCAAACATTATCTAAGTCAATATTGATTTTGCTTGCTGTATGCAAAATATATGGAAGTTTCAGTCTCAATTTTATTTTGTGTGTCAATATTGGTTTTGCTTGCTGTATGCATGTTGGGCTATTAGTATCAAGCATGTGGAGTAAATGAGTCACGGATTAGTTTAATCTAGAGGGTTTTCTTGTGCTACTGGGAAAAAAAAGTGATTCAACTCCAAGATTTGGTGTACTTTGCAACCCTTTATATAGAGCATTTGATGCTTTCCCTCAAAGGTTTGCATGTTATTTTAACATTAAAAGATTTCAGAAGAAACTTACTATATGCTGTTTTTTCTTTTACTGTTGTTGATTCATAGGGACATATGTCCATATCTTGTTTTCAGCATGTGGTGAAAATTGGCTTGACTTGACTTTCAGTTCTTTTGACTTGAGGCTTCCATGACTTTACAGGGTAGAATAGCACTTGAACGAAGGAGGTTTCTGAAAAATGCTGAGACAGCAGTACAAAGACAGGCTATGTGGTCAAATTTGGCTCATGAAAAGACAGCAGAGTTTCGTGGTCTCTGTGCTGAAGAGGTAGACAGAAATCCACCATCTTATTTTTTGGGGCCCATGCTTACTTAGATGTCTTATCTTTTTATAGGGCTTTAGTTTTTCTGACACTTTGCTCCGGAAATCCTGGAACTCAGGCTTATTTGCAGCAAGAACTGGAAAAACTATATGATTTGAGGAATAAAGTGAAGTTAGATGGGGAACTGTGGGATGAACTTGTATCTAGCTCCAGTCAGAATTCTCATTTAGTTCAAAGAGCAACTTGTATATGGGATTCTTTATTAGCTCGAAAGAGTAAGTGCAAACATCTTATTGATTGCTTTATATTTTCTGTACTCCCTTTGAAGTTTCTTGCATGTATATTTCTTGGAATATGCATGCAGCTTGGCTAGAAATCACTGTTTCAGACCACGGTTGGGATAGGCTTTCTTGAGTTGAGTCATATTGTTTCGGGCATTGGTGAGATTTTTGGCTCACTCCATAGAATCGAATTCATTGTTCAATCTTCAAAGGTGAATTGCATCATTCTTTCCCTCCTTTATTCTCTTCCTCAATCTTCATCTCTTTCTCACTCTGTGTATATAAAATTATAAATACATGTGTGTTCCTTGAATAACTGCTTATTACTGGGAATATCAACTTATTTTTTATTAAATAATAATAATCCAGTTACATGAATATGAAATGCACATTTTATTTTTTGGAATTCTTTGTTCTTGTGAGGTTTTGGTTAGGGAGAGAGGAAGATGTACTCGAATTGTAGTGATGTTTTCCTAAATTACGGCAATATTTGAACGTCTATTGCGCAGCATCTAGTTTGTTTTTTTAGCCTATTCGATTCAACATGGTTTATTTTGTTTCATTTGGACTGCAAAAAATTGGTATTTAGGCCCCACGTATAAAAATTAACAAGAAAGAAGCACATATACAGCAAAACAAGGCTTAAAATTAGATTGGTAGGATTGGTCCTAGAGTGAGATTCCATGATCCAATAAGATTCAACTATCAGGATTGGAAGATCCAACTTATTATTTTATTTTGCATTGTTTTGTTCATGGATCTTTATATATACTACCACTCCATACAGGTCAACATGAAGTTCTTGCCTCAGGCCCTATTGAGGACCTGATAGCTCATCGGGAGCATAGGTAATTTTATGCCTTGTATCATTTGGGTTTCTGCAGATGGTCATGTTGTGTTCATCTGTAGTGTGTAATGTTCCCTATTCAGGTACCGCATCTCTGGATCGTCTTTGCTTGCAGCTATGGATCAAAGTTCTCAGGTACCTTATTCAGATGTGCTGTCTGTCCATCCTGGTAATCTGTTAGATGACAAAGAACAAACAGATGGATCATATGGAAATAGAGAAAAGCCAAACAATGGTTTTGATTCTTCTATGCAAAATGATGAAAAATTTTCTCGAGTGGATGACAAAAGGGGAAGAGTCCACCCCACTGTTGATATAGCAGAAATTCTCAGGCGTTGGACACATGCCTTGCAACGAATTCATAAACAGTCACTTCAGCTGGTATGGCATTTTCATCTAGGGAGCTAAACTTTGTCTGATAATGCTGAAAAGTTTTTGTGTTTGAGGTTTCTGCTGCTTTCCAATTATTTTGTTGTTTTTTTACAATTTTTTTTTTTTGGGTAAAATATTGGGAATGTATTATTTGGGAATAATCTCTGTGCCCTTAACATGTTATTTTGCACTACTTCCGTTGTAGACAAAAGCCAATGACGGAGAGGGTCCTGAGCTTCTACGTAGTGCACACGATTGCAGTACTAGTGGCCATACTGAATCATTGGCAGCCACTCTTTCTGAACATCAGCAACACTTAACTAGCATACAGGTAATGAACTTCTATTTCAGATTTACACATTGAACTTCTAGCTGGGGTGGTAGTATTCCTCCAGTTTAAACCCCAACTTTACTTGGCAAACAGGTCTAACTTCGAGCAGTTTAAAATTTCAGTTACTGCTTGATACTGGGGGAGAAAAAAAAACCTGCAAACAGCTAGGGCATTTGCTCTCATTGTTTCTGTTATTCTGTTTTATTGGATGCCTGACTTCATTGTTACCTCAATACACATTTCTTTATGTTCCACTACTACGTTTATGGAATAAAATGTCTCATATTGATGAATTTTATTTCTCTGTTGTTATGTTCTACTATTGTTTTTTGGGATTTGGTGCTGCTGTGTGATACATCCTTTTACTTAGCAAGTAAAGAGCAAATATTTTCTGCTGCTGCAATTTTATATTGGAAGAATTGGATGCTTTATGTGCTTCTCATTTGCATCAACTCTATAAGTTGCTGACTGTGGTATGTTTGGATCATGAGTGTGAATGTGCATAGAATTTGAGGATGGGTAGAGGTGGGGATGTTCACATGCTTAATAGAACAAAATTATGTGCAATCAAGAAGTTCTCTATCCATGAGCATAGTTCGATGGGGATGTTCACATGGACAACTGGAATGGCAATAAATAATGTAACAGAATATGAATAATTTGTGGAGAGTTTGAATTTGCTCTGATTGAGGTCAAGTCGGCTAATGGGGTGGATGTGTAGAAAAATGCCAATGACAACACGAATGACCAGATGGTTCATATTAGGGTGTTATAAGAATAAGAGCAGGTTTGTGTTTAATGTGGGTTCAGTCGGTAATAAAGGAGAAATCTTTTGTTGATTTGTCCATAGGTCATCTCCATTATCTACACAGAGCAGATTACTGAATGAGGATTTGTTTCTTGAGCTCAAGTGGTTGGAAATAGCTTTGCTCTGTTTAGTTTATCTTTGTTCATGAGGCCATGGGATGGACATGGGCCTTTGATGACACATTGAATTTTGTATCTCTACAAAATGAACTCTTCTATCGAAAAATGACAGAAGTATCCCCATTTCTATCTCTACCGCGTACTCTCTCATTTTTGAGAAATGAAATGACAAAATTACTCACCCAAACTATCCTCTTAATTCAAGCTATCTACTTATCATTAGAACACAAGTTTGACTTGTTACTTCTAGGAGAAAATAAATTAGGTTTTTCAGTGCAATTATTCTATTCCCAATCCATTTACAACAGAGTGTATTGTATAGCCTTTCAGAGAAGTCAGTTAATCATAAAATTAAAATGTAGTGGAAATTTCATCAAAATTTACTGGCTTTACCCAATTACTTGACTTTGCTAATAGGTAACTGATTCACTTGGTTTGAAGTAACTGCTCTATGCATTTTTTATAATATATATTTATTTGTCTCATAGTTATTCTTACAGTTTTTAGTTGCATCCTGAATGCCTCCAAGGCACTTTCTACTATAGGTTTGTCATTGATGGCATGCTTACTAAATTGCTGACCCATTACTCTGTGTGAGATTTTATTCACATGAAAACTTGTGACTTGCAGGTGCTCATTAATCAAGTGAAGGATGTTGCCCCAGCAATACAAAATTCAATTACAGAGGTTACAGAGGAAGTGAACAGTATTTCCTCCAATCTTCCTCCGGTTACCCAGCATGATGGCAGATCAACCTCATCTATTCAAGCTCAGAGCAGCGGAAGAACTATGGTGATTATTCTGGAATGATACTTTTTTCGTGTATAATGTTGCAACATTTGCCTAGCCTTTTCTATTTGCATCTATAAAAGTAAATGATCTTTTTGAGTTGTTCAGGAAAGTAGCAATGATGAGATTGCTGATGTGACTTCGAGATTGTCAACAGTACAGCTTGAGAAAGTGTCAGCTAGTCCTTCTGCTTTAAAACTCCCTCCTCTGTTTAGTGCGACACCAAATTCTTTCGGGAAAGGTGGGAACATGCAAAAGCGACAGACCTTAGCTCAAACTAGTCAAATAGAAAATATGTCAGAAAGGAAGTCTGTGGACCAGCTGCTGTCAAACAATCGTATTGATACTGCCCCACAAGGTTTGAAGTTTTCTTTTTCTTCTCCCACTTCCCGTAAGCTTGTGGGAGGCATTTAACGTTTGTGTAATGTTGTCTTCATTAGCTTACTTATGATGTTTAGTTCTTATGTTTTGTGCTTCCAGACAGTGACAGTTCTTATGTCCAGAACTTAAAGCGGTCTGTTAGAGAGGCAGCTCTATCAATGCAATCTTGCAATTCGGAATCGTCTCAGGACAATCGATCTGACGATAGCTCTGAGCACTTCTTTGTTCCGCTTTCTGGAACTGGGTTTTCTCGCTTGGGTCCAGATAAAAAACTAGGTTCAGTGAGGAGTAAACTGTTGTTTGCATCTCAAGCCCCTTCAATTGAGAATTTTGCTCCCAATGATCATGCTCACAGAGATTACGAGGAACTATCATACATGTTAAATGATTTGGACTCATTTCATGAGTATGACAGGGTAAATGGTTTTCTCTCAGCTGCTGGGTCAAATTTCACAGTTTCCGATTCACAGAAGTCATATTGTGACGGGGAGGAAGCTCAGGATCAAGTATTCTCACCTCCTTTGCTAATGGACTCCTCATTTCTCGGAGATCCTTGTGAAGATTTGCTCGGTATGTTGGTGTGGCAACAATCTATCTGATTTTCTTAGCATCCATAATGTGTTGGGTTTCTGATCTTTGTATGGCTTGCTTCTGTCTCTAAATACTTTTGTCTACCTGTGCTACATATATGATGCCTAGACCTTTGTCTCACTCTGTTGCAGCACCATTATCAGAAACTGAAACTGCCTTGATGGAGCGCTAAAATCAAACTGTGGATGCTCAGACCATGAAATGATCGTGTGCCAACTGCTTCGAGTCTTGGAGGATAGAAACCACTGCCCAACCAGATCATCAGTCTGGTAAGAAATTCTACTTTGGCTCTTAAGTTATTTGACAACGAATGGCTTGCCCAGAAAGAAGTGTTAAATCTGATGGTTGAAGTAATATAGACCCATGGTTTGCCCCTTGGTGCCGGATGGTGAAGCTTTCTTTCCCTGAATTATCCTGTATGTCGACTCTCAAGGTTGGTTGTCAATAAACTAGTTTATACGTATTTGATCAATATACCGGTTGCAATTAGATGAAATGTGAGTATTTACAACCTTTGTTGTTACAATATATATATTTTTAAATATCACCTTCTCATCACTTAGCTAATATGTTCTAGGATTATTTTCAGTGATATTGAGTCTATTACAGTTTGTTATATCATTATATGTGTACTCATTGTTCAGAAGTCGCAGAAAGAGAATAAATAACTTCAGAACTGACGCAACCATAATTTTTCTGTCTATTGGTATCGTGTTTTGAAGAGAGATTTTTCCTGCATTGATGCAATCTTATGATTTTCATGATTGTTTGATCTGTTTGTGATAATTGCCACATTTTGGTGATATATAATTTTTCTTGGAGGAAGGTAGCCATTTGTGACTTCTTCTGAAATTTGAAAAAATTATAAGCTAGTTTCATACGTTTTACATAATTTATACTGGTTTTCTTACGGTTGTAACTCATATGACATTTAACTTTTTTTTAATCAATAATTCGGTATATATTTTTTACCTTTGTTTATCTATATGTCTATATACCATTTGTATTAATTTCAATTATTTTAATTTTACTAAAATAGACATTAATATAAGGGGAAAGCACCAATAAATCCCAAATTAATAACTGTTTGGTCCTAAAAGTTTTCTTATAGACTGAAAGGTCCCATTACAATGTTTCAAACATCAGATTAATGTTTCGAACATTAGATTTTGAACATCAGATTAATGTTTGGAACATTAGATTTCGAACATCAGATTAATGTTTCGAATATTAGATTGATGTGCAAATGGGACTAAATGGAGCATAAGAAAACTTTTAGGACTAAATGGTTAACTTTTCAGAAACTAGGACTTATGGGTAAATTTTCCTTAATATAATTATATTAAATTTGTGATATTTGTTATTATTATTTTTAGGGTAAATTACACTCACACCCCCTGATATTTGAATTTAATACATATTACCTATAACGTTTGAGAAATTACATTAACCCCTATGTTATTGTAATTATGTAGACGGAATAAAGATATTGAACTCATGCATTCTTTTTTTTTTTTACTTTGCTTTGCTTTACTTTTTCTTTTTTTTTCTCTTTCCTTTTACTTTTTTTTTTTTTTAAATGTAATTTTCTCTGTTTTTTACTAGGAGTTGTTACATTTTATATAAGCAGGGTTTGTGAAATGAGACTATTGATCACAGAGGTGGAAATGTAATTTCTAAAACGTCAGAGAGTGGGTAGTAATTGGACTAAACTTATGTTAATATAATTTATCCTTATTTTTAAAACTCTCCGAGGGGCGAAGTCACCTCTTGCAGCATTTTGGATTGACCATATTGGGCAATGGCCCCACTGAAGAAGGGAAAATTCTCTCCATGGGGACGCCGAATTGATGAACGATCTTGATGGAACACCACCTTCTATGGATGTGCATTGCACAATAACTTTTTACCGTTTTGGCCAAGTATATGATAAATGTTTAATAATAAATAAAAAAGAGTCGTGTAGGGGTTGATGGCTTTTGGACAAATGGTGGTTTGATTTCTTCTTATATCACAATAAAGTTAATCTTTTGATAACATGTGATTGGAATTGTTTATTTTAATTTATTTTTAGTATGTTAGATTGGATCTGTTAGAGACAGTTTGAAATATTTTAATTGCATAGGAGGTGATCATAGGAATCTTCACCCAATTATAAAGAGTTTGATTGTTTAAGGTATAGTGGAATATTTGAAATAGAAAGAGAAAAAAAAATGGTATAATTAAGAATATTTTGGGTGCTAAGTATGTTTATGTTGTCCGTATCAATTTAGAAATGATCAAATCTTAACAATGATTTGTAATCTTACCTGAATGAAGGATTGTCTTACCAACTCTGATCACCAAATTACCTAATCTTCCATTCATAATTTTTTTTTTAAAATTTTATTATTAGTATCTGATATTACAATGAAACTCAAAAAATTACCACCTAATGAATATTAAATACAATATATAATTAATAATTCTTAGAGTGATAAAAATATTCTAAACAAATACACACAAAAAATAAGAAAATGTTATAGGTTCTAATTTTTTTACCAAACAAATGATCAAATGTTTCACATGAGTGTGAGGTTCATAAAATTGCGGACCTGTGAGACATTTGGCCATCTGTTTGGTAGAAAATTTAATATTTCTAGCATTACACCAAAAAATAAGACCCATTCGCAGAGTATTAGTCTTAATTTGTTGTTTTTAAATAAATTAATAATTCAAATGTAACATTTCACATCATTAAAAAAAGGTATTCGAGGATTATTAACCATTTTTCATTTACCACTCAAGTTAATCAAGACTTTAAAATTAAGGAATACCACTTATTATTTAGGATAAATTACGCTTTGTCTCTTTTATATTTTGTCACTTTTTTACTCTGACCTCTCAAGTTTGTTTGTTTTTTCATTTTGACTTTTTATGTTTCAAGTTTTTTTTACTTTACTTCTAAGGTTAATTTCTATTCAAAATTAGACATAAAATATCACAATAACTGTTACATAATATATATAAAAAAAATATTATTATATTAAAGTTTAATGTGAAAGGTAGGAGTTATATATAATAAAATATTTTTATGTCATGTAATTGTCAATGTATCATTTTCTGTTTAATTTTTTACAAAAATTAACTTTAAGAATAAAGTATAAAACCTTTAAAATATAATCAAAATAAAAAAAAAAATTAAAAGACCAAAAAGTCGTCGAACTTAAAAAGAGCAAAGTGTAATTTACCCTATTATTTACGGTTACCATCTTTGTATCCATTTTTCATCACATACAAGATGTCTACACGCCTTCGATGATAAAATTAAATAACAATTTTATCATATTTGAATAATAATAATAATGTCAAGATATTATATTTTAATAATATTATTTCCACAGTATAAATATTATTTCTTCTTTTTCTTTTATTTTTTTAATTTATAAAATATCAAACAAAAATATTATACGTAAGTCTCATAATGAGAAATGTTTAAACAAAGAAGATTGTTAAATTTTAGATGTAATTAAGTTGTGTCAAATTTAGCATAAAATTTAACAATGCTAAGATAGAGTGCAATGTCTAGTTAGTCATTGCAGAGCTCAAAATTGAACTTTATACTATTGTTTTTTTATAATAGCAACCGCTTTACCGTATCATTGAAGAAATTTTAAGGTTTAATTTTTTCTCTATTTTTTTTAAAGAAAATTTACATTTTACTCACTTAATTATGCGTTGTTACTTTATGCTGTTAAATTTAAAATATCTTCATTTTGTCTCCTAATCTTTTGATTTGTTACAACCTTAAAACTTTTGTTTATTCTTTTATGAAAAAAGACACACACAAAAAAAAAAAAGAGTTGATGTATATGCCATTTTAATGATCAAAATGTCAATTTAAGTGCTGATTTATTTATACATGTGAGATATGTATATATATGTTTCTCACATACGAAGAAATATATTAGAAAATATATGCACATGCAAAATGTTTTTCAATATATGCATTTACAATTGATATGCTTGTTTTTCATCCTATTTTCGTGTCAAAATGTTAATCAAAGTTGAGATTGAAACAAATCATAAATTACAGAGTAAAATGTAACAATTTTTAATTCAGTAAAGTCCGGTGACAAAAGTCTTTTTTTAATGAGTATAAAGTATTATTTGTTATTTTTTAAACTAAGAAGGAATTTTACCCGTGTAATCTCTATAATAATGTCACATTCTTCAAATAAAATTTATGACCAACAATATTCAAAATTTATGATTTTTTTCATATAGATTTTAACTAAACATTTTTTTATTAATTATATATATTTTTAATTTTTTTTTTTAATTTTTTTTGTAAGTCTAAGTTTATAAAGAGAAAGTCCCAAAAAGTTGATGAAACTAAAGAAAATGGATTAATTTTTGGATTAATTAGACTAAGATTAATATCACTTTTCTTCTTTTGTCTATGAGTTCAATAATGAAAATTGTACTTATACACATTTTTTAGAAGAAAGGGTTTTACAGAGTTAAGAGTGATATGTTTTTATAGTCGAAGGAGTTAAAATGTATATGTTCATAAATAATGAAATAAAGTGATATTTACTAGTAGTTGAGAGATTTTTAGTATAAATGTATATATATATATATATATATTTTTTTAAGGGGCGTGATTTCTTTATTTTAGAAACCTAATTTCCACTGCTAACCTTATGCTTTTATCCAAAAACATAGGTGGGTTTTGTATGGATTTCAAGGGGTATTTTGGTCAAAGTATAGGAATCATCACTATCTGGAAAAACCCCAAAAAAAGTTAAAACAATAAAGAGAGGGTGGGTGTGCTTTGAGGTTGAAATTCCTAAAGAAAAACAGAAAGAGTCATCATAAAAGAAAATGAGAAAGAAAATAAAACTAACAATAATTCTAGCGAACCAAACACATAGCCACCAGCATCAATAACCAGAGCAAGATTTGCTTTTCTTCACACCCATTTTCTGTCTCTTCTTCTCAGTTTTTTCTTTTTCAGATTTCGATCACTGATACATAAAAACTTTCCTTTTCTTTTCTTCCTTTTTCTTTGCTTTTCTTTTCCCTTATTTCTCATTCATTTTGGTAACAAGAACTCTATGTATATATATTTCTATGAATCTTAGTATTATGTTTATTACCTTTGTTTTCGATTTCTACTTCTGATTCTTCTTGTAGGTGACACATGATCAAGAATGCTATCTGGGTCTTGTAGATCATGCCCAGATCTCGTTAGCTTTTGATCTATCCGAATAGCTTGTCGATATTTGCTAAAAAGGAGGTGAGTTTAAATCTAACTTTTTCCAATTATATGCTAAAGAACATATTTAAGTCAAAGATTCTTGAGTTCAATTTTTAACATTGTTGGACAATTGTTGGCTTTATGTGATTTGCACTTCATATTTGCATCTGGGTTTCCATATTAAGTTAGGACATTTTATTTGTGTTAAGTGAACACTTTCCTTTCCTTGAAAAAGTGGAATGACAAACTAGGGTTTTTATTTCTGTTCATCCTTGGGGAAATTAAAATGTTTGTTTAAAAGGCTTTAGGCATTGAGAAATTTTCTTTATTTGAATTGGGTCTGATTCATTTTTTCAGATGAGAAATGGATTCAGTTAGACTGGCTCTATTGTCAATTACATAGAGCATGCATGCTGGTTCTTGACCGCGGAGATGATAAGAGGCTCTCATGGTGGACTGAATCCTCTGTGGATTGTTAATATTGGCTTAAAATTGGTTTGATTCAAATGGGTTCCTTTATTTTTATCTGATAGTATGTCCATCCTTGGTCATTGATGATGATGAGTCTTCTATTCTGAGAGTATCGTGGGCAGTATTGGTTTCGTTGTTTCACGTGGAAGACTTTGTGGTTTGTTGTCAAAGTTATGATTAGACATATACTTAATAGGCTCCCACGGAAACCATCTAAGTCAGGAGAAAATCGTGATGGGGGAACCTCTACCTCCTCTTCAAATGCTTCTGCCATTTTACGAAGCAGTGATCTAAATCGGTTTGGGAACTTGAATGCCACTTCTCTTCCAGGTGTTAATTCTACTTCAAATTCGGGATTAAGTCATGGAAATAAGATCCCTCAAGGTTTAAACTCAAAGTTGAATGGCAATTCAACAGTTTCACCATATGAGGCATTGCCTAGTTTTAGAGATGTTCCAAACTCCGAGAAGCCGAACTTGTTTGTCAAAAAACTGAACTTATGCTGTGTTGTGTTTGACTTTACTGACCCAACAAAGAATTTGAAAGAAAAGGACATCAAGCGACAGACTTTGGTAGAGCTTGTTGATTATGTTACTTCGACAAATGGGAAATTCGCAGAACCTGTTATGCAAGAAATTGTGAAGATGGTGTCCATAAACTTGTTCAGGACACTCACTCCTCAACCTCGTGAGAACAAAGTTTTAGAAGCCTTTGACTTGGAAGAGGAGGAGCCCATGATGGACCCAGCATGGCCTCACTTGCAAATTGTGTATGAGTTCTTTCTTAGATTTGTGGCATCACCTGAAATGGATGCAAAGTTGGCCAAGCGGTACATTGATCACTCTTTTGTCCTAAGGTTGTTAGATCTCTTTGATTCTGAGGATCCTAGAGAAAGGGAGTACTTGAAAACTGTTCTACACCGCATATATGGGAAGTTTATGGTGCACCGCCCATACATTAGGAAAGCGATTAACAACATATTTTATCGTTTTATTTTTGAAACTGAGAAGCATAATGGAATCGCAGAACTGTTAGAAATATTGGGCAGTATAATTAATGGGTTTGCTTTGCCCCTGAAAGAAGAGCACAAACTCTTTCTTGTTCGGGCACTGATTCCGCTTCACAAACCAAAATGTATACCGATGTACCATCAGCAGTTATGTTACTGCATCACTCAATTTGTTGAAAAAGACTGCAAGCTTGCTGACACTGTTATAAGGGGCTTATTAAAGTATTGGCCAATCACAAATAGTTCGAAGGAGGTCATGTTCTTAGGTGAGCTGGAGGAGGTTTTAGAAGCGACTCAACCTCCAGAATTCCAGCGCTGTATGGTACCCTTGTTCCGCCAAATTGCTCATTGCTTGAGCAGTTCACACTTTCAGGTTGGTAGTTTTACTAATTTCATCAATGTTCTCTTATTGTCATCTTTGTCCTTCATTTAAATAATGTTTTTAGTTATACTGGTGAAGTTAAGAATGTTTACTTTCCACCTGACAATGGTAATCACAATCAGTGCTCTTTTAACTTAAAAAACCAACTGCACCAAGCACTCTTGGGTTCATACTTTTGCCATATACCAAATGGAACTGTGACGTTGTGCATTTACTATGGCATTCCTTTTTAGGCCACCAGTGCATCAAGACCTAATATGAAGTCTGGCTAAAAATTCCCTTGCCTTTTCTTGACATGGTAATTGAGTGTCTGAAATTGTGTAACATGGCAACTTCTTATATTTTACTGGGAAGATTAAAACAGAAACCATATTTTATTGATTCATAAATATGAAAATCTAATAATGTCTTTAAAGGTAATTTTGTAATAATGAGATTTCAAGTCTTCTAAATCCCACTCTTAATTTTTTTCTAACGTAGTATTAAATTGTAATTTTTAACACACTTCTCAAACCCTTTTGGATCCCACGGTGTCCAGATCCCTATCAGACTTGGTTGCATTTGAAGTTTTTATATTGAGAGAGAGAGAAAGAGAGAGAGAGAGAGAGGCCATTAGCAGTGATCAGTGATGAAGAGGAGGTGAGTGATCTTGGTGCGGCAGCTGTAGAGGGCAATGTAGGCAGCTACTCTCCATCGAGAGAGAAACTTTGACCAAGAAATGGTTGTAGTAGAGAAGGGGCGAACGTGCTGATACAGAGTGAGTAGCATGCATTGTTTAGAGAAAGGAGAAAGAATGCGTGAGGTGTCTAGCGAGAGAAAGTTCTATAAAACTCTAATATGTATTATATATATATTTAGGTTGGATCAGGCTGTCTGATGCTTCCACCAAGGACTGGACCAAATTTAAATTTGGTTGACCAAATTCAGCTCAAGTTTGACTCGAAGTATTGTACTCGGGTTCAACTTGCTCAAGTTGCAATCCTAGCTAGGGAATTTTTAAGGTATTTGCTCTGCAATTATTTGAGTGTTAGGAGGGGGCTGTGGCCTAAAGAGGGTGAGGAAACCTTGGTTGGTGGCTCATTTATGATTGATGTGGTGCTTTTAAAGGAAGTGGAATTGGTGGACTTTCAAGGATGTAGGTATGACGGTGCAAAGATGAAAACGTCTTTACTGCATACTTTCAATTTTTTGATTTAAACTAAAATTTAGTTAATTTTCTTTTTTCTGTTGTTGACTTTATCTCAATTTGGGAGATGGCTAAAGTTTTGTTTTTTCTATGTGTAATGTATAAATGTTATGCCCCTTCTGACACCTTTTATGTATGATCTTTTGCTAATAAAAGAAAAAAGAAAATTCAGCCAAGTGGGTGCTTTTGCTGTGGTTGCGGAGATCTTTCCAAAGCATGCATTTATGTCGTGGTTGGCTATTAAACATAAGTTTTCTGCACCAGATAGATGTTCTTTCTTTTTCTTTTGGGTAGGTCACTAGATAGATTGATTGCAAAGTAAAACTCCATAGAGATAAATGTGAGTTTTGAAATATGTATTTATGTTTTGGCTGGCTATTAAACATAGATTAGCTGCACTGCACTTGATTGATTGCAAAGGGAAAACTTTGTGGAGCTCCATACATGTTCTGGAGAAGGGACAAATGTTGCTCAATGCCTTATCAAGGAAAATGGGATCTAATTATTGATTGATTAGATTTGAAGTGTAAGGAAAATCTTTCCCAAAATATGGTTTGGAATATGGCCATTGCAGCTCTGGTGTACCATTTTTGGATGGAGAGAAATTGTAGAAAGTTTGAGAACTGTGGAGATAAGGCCTTATCAAGGGCATGATATATGTTTTCAAGGCTTTATAATGTGTAGGATCCTCATTTAAGATTTATGTAAAAATTGAAATTTTAGTGTTCAATTACAATGATCTAATGAAGGTCTTGGTCTAAATGGAGGGAATTTTGCAGGAACAGTGTGGTTAACTGTCTCATTTGTTCTTTTGTTGTCTTGTGAGTTGGGGTCTTCGGTGCTGTTGTTGCCTTTTGGGCCTGCATATGCTAGTTGAAGAGCATGTAACTGTGTATAATTTGTCTTTAATAAGTTTTTCATTTTACAGGGAAAGAAAAAGAAGAAACTATGCTCAATTTAAACATTTAAAAGTAGTTATATAACATCAACTAGTAGTCAAAAGTCACTAAAAAAATAAAAAAGCCAAAGAACTATACACAAAAGTCAAATATTCCCTTTCTTCTCTACTGTTTGCACAAATTTTTTTTTTTTTTGTAAAAAGCTAAAAATTGCTAAAATAACCTATTCCCAAACAACCCTTAGTGTGTAAAAATTAGGAAATTCATGAACCAAATATCAAAACTAAAAAAAAAACAATTTTTTAAAATGTGATAATGATTAGCATAATTTGTGGAGTTAAATAGAATATTTGGAAACCAGATAAAGAGTGCCATGATTAATTATATTAAGTCTACTGTAACTGGTTACAAATCTTATGAAATCCATCAAAAAACTGTTCTAATTCTAACCCTTGACTGTAGCAATGGACTCGAACATATATTCTAAATGCCTTTAGTTTCCCAAATATCTGAAAGCGTCCTCTTTTCCACTGCTCTATTTTTTGTTTTCAATGCTTGCCACTTTTCATTGTTTCATGTTGAAACTCCAAAGCTTGTGTTTCCTCGATCAATTTCTTAGGGTGTTTATAGGATGACAGGTTATTATTAACTGCCGGTTCTACATTGCTAATCAAGTATCTCATTTATATATTTGTTTTATAGAACACACTTGCATCATGTGCGTTATTTGTTTGGTGTGATGGTGATGATATAAATGATTGTATGATATATAGCAAACTATAATCAGTAGTCCAGCATTTTCTCGGTTCCTCTTATCCTTTGATCTTTTATGCAATTTTGGGCTTATAAGAGACATCCTCTTTCCATCTGTTTGGATTATTGTCGCCATCAAACACAAAATCTCCATTGTCACTACTTGAGCCTCTTAACACAAACTATTCTTATCGTGTTTGATTGTGTGCTATGTTTTAGGAGTGATGATAGAGAGCACTAAAGTTAGAGTTTTAATGCCAACTCTAGTGATGTGGCAATACATAAAAATAGAAAAAAAAAGAAAAAAATGTAACATCACAAGCCAAAACATCAAATCATAAGGTGGAGCCCACCTCTAGAGCTCCCTCTAGATCTCCTCATTTAGAGGTCTTAAACATTTTTGATGTTTTAGTAGATTGTGTTTGATGATGGTGGTGTATTTGTAGGTGGCAGAGAGGTCTTTGTTCTTGTGGAACAATGATCACATCGAAAACCTAATCAAACAAAATCGCAAGGTTATTTTGCCTATTATCTTCCCCGCCTTGGAAAAAAATTCAAGAAACCACTGGAACCAGGCAGTACAGAGCTTGACATTAAATGTCCGCAAGATCTTCTCTGACATTGATCCGGAGCTCTTTGAGGAGTGCTCGCTCAAATTTCAGGAAGACGAAGCCCGAGAGGAAGAGATGAAGGAGAAACGGGAAGCCACATGGAAACGCTTAGAGGAGATTGCTGCGATGACAGCTGCGAGTAGTAATGAAGCAGTGCTTGTCCCCAGAAAGATAATCGCTCATGCATCATCAGGCTAGAGAGATTAGAAATTCGTGTTGGTTCTTACTTTCGAGTTGTGTTCATGTTTCTGATTGGTATACAGAGCAAGAAATGGGTTTTACTTGAGAATTTTGGATTTGTCAGGTCATGCAGGGTGAAGAGCACCGCAGTGCAAGATATAAGCGGACCGCATTCTGATGATCCGTGCCCGAGGACTGTATATATATGGGCTTGGATTAACAAAGACAATGGGGGTTTCATAGTGCTGCACTGCATTGCAGAATTGTATGGAGGGAATTTGGGTAGTGACTTTGGGCTTCTTTTTTTTCTGTTGTATTGTTTGAAAGGGGTAAACAACATTGAAAGAGGTTCATTTTGCAGGTCTCTTCTGTTTACATATTTTTGAATTTGGTTTTTCAATTAATGTACACTATCTTCAATTATATATATGTGTCTTTGTACTTTGTTGCTTTTGGGAATGGGATCTCTTGTGTGGCACAAACTCTCTACATTGCCATTGTTTGATGTAACTTATAGAACTGTTTATGTATATATATAGTTCAAATAAATTTTAAAATTTGACTATTGAAAAACAGAACTGCTTATATATATACTTTAAATAAATTTTAAAATTTAATTATTGAAAAACAGAACGATAGATGTTATCAACTTTTTCACTGTACCAAACAAGGCAGCCATCGATTCAATGGCAGAGGAAAAGAGAGTTGCCTTATATTTCTTGTGTCTGAATTTACTTGACAGTTGCGATTATGTTTTTATTCACTTGACAGGGAGGTAAACATTATTTTGTTTTTGATTGGGTTTTTTTAATTGTGATTTATTGTTTAAAATTTTGATAGATTATTGAATCATTTTTTTTTTGGGGATAAATGAGTTACATAACATCAATAATTTGAATAATTAAAATAAAACAATTTCTTGGTGACCATTGCGACTCATCAGCTTACCCGTTGCTAAGAGTGAACTTCCTACCTCTCTTACATGTGAGGTGGGGAGATGCGAGGTGGAGAGATGTCGTTGGATTAGAAGTCCATTTGATAAGGAATTTTTGTATTTCGAAAGGTAGATGTCATGTGAGGTGGGGAGATGCGAGGTGGAGAGATGTCGTTGGATTAGAAATCCATTTGATAAGGAATTTTTGTATATCGAAAGGTAGATGTCGCGTGATATTTTTTATTATTGTGATTAGATTTGACAGTAAAATCCATTAAATTTATGTCAGGTGTTATTATTGTGATTAAATTGACAGTAAGATCTATTACATTTATGCTAGGTGTTTGAGAAAAAATAAAAGACAAATATATTTGTAATTGATAGAAGATATTATCATTTATGCTGGATGTTTGAGAAAAAGTAAAAGACATATACATTTGTGATTGGTAGAAGATAGTAATACTCTATTAATATAAACTTTTCTCCTATGTGATAGTCATTTTACTTTAAAATAAGGCTGTAACTCTAACACGTTTAGGTAAAGTTAGAGAAGTTATTGGTTGATCATAGAGGACTGTGAGATGATGCTCTAATAATATTATAATTAGTGAAAGAGGTAGGATCTACGTTTTTATGTTGAGTAATTAAAAAATAAAAAACAACATAACATATTGTAATTTATGAAGAATACTATCACATGGTGGTGTTTGGGATGTCTTGAACTTGGATTTTTTTTGATTTTTTTCACAAAAAGACAAACTTTTTACAAAACCAAAAAAAACACATCAAAATAAAATATCACATTCAATCCCATAATCATTTCACTTTTTTTCTCATAAACATCACATCTAACCAAAAAAAAATTCAATTATCTTCCTAAACACAAAAAAAAAATTCTCCAATAATATCCTACAATTAAAAAAAAATTACATAAAAATTCACTTTCCAAACACTCATAGTGTCATCAGAGGAATACCAAATAATTTTGCCTAAGGTAGAGAGATTTGTCTATACCCAGACTGCAATATGGAAGGGTATGTCTTTTGATTGAATTTTTTGCCCAAGTCTAAACACAAGCCTGAATTAAATTAAAAAATTTACCTTGGCCAACAGTGTTACATAATTCTAAAAAAAACACAAATTATAAAAATTTTATTTTCTTGTGATTAGTCTAAGAAGAAAAGAAAAAACATATGATTAAACCATATTATTTTAGAGATCATGATCCCAAGTGTTTTTGCCAAAATAATATCCATGGAAACTCACGATAGTTGCTGGCGTAACTCAACCACAGCAGTGAGCAGTTATTCGTTGGTCCTAGGTGACTCAAGTATGTTTTGAGTGGTGAAAGGAGTACGGCCCACCATCTTGTCTTTATGGGTGATTGAAGGGCACACTAGAAGTTTGTGATGGTTTCAATACATGTCAACATGTAACCAACCAATAATTTTTTCACAGCAGCAATACAACAAAGTCTGGATGGGACCGTGGTACGTGGCTTGATTGGACGGATCAGATGGGCCAGTCTAGTGTTCGAAGAGATAGAAAGATTGATTGAGTCAGATTAAAGAAAAGAAAAATATTTAAGAGCATTAAAAATAAAATTTTAAGAGTGGTTTGGCATCTCTTAAATAAAGAAAATGTCTGGTAGTTCGAAATTATCAGGCTCGAAAATGGTTCGAGAGAAAGAGAGAGAGAGGGAGAGGGAGAGGGAGAGGAGAAAGAGAAGGGAGGGAGAGGAAGAAGGTCGGCGTCGCAGCTTCCCGCCCCGCCGTCGTCGTAGCTCCCGCCGCCGCAGCTCCCGCCGCCGCCTCTACTTCCTCCTCCGTCGCAGCCCCGCCGATGTCGCAGCACCACCGTCGTCTGCCCAGCCTCCCCTCCTCCTCAAACCGGTTTTTATGGCCCCCTCCCCTCCCTCCTCCTCCTCCTCCCTTCTCTTCTTCTCCCTTCTTCTTCTTCTTCTTCTTCTTCATTTTGGCAAACCAGGAAAAAAAAAAAAAAAGACAAAATCGACACCAAAACGACGTCGTTTTGGTGTCGAGCCGCGTTTCGAGCCGCGACATTCGAGCTACGTAGCATGATCGCTTAAATAATTTATTTTTTATTTTTTTTTATTACATCATCTTTTTATTTTTTTGTACATCTTTTTATAAAAAGATTAAAAAAAAATTATTTAGATCATCCCAAACAACCCCTTAATGAGAGTAGGAATGGTAACAAGCTGGGACGAGACCGGGGATGACACTTCTTGTTTCGGATTTTTGAAGATAAAAAAATTCCCGTCCCCAGCCTTGATCCCCGGCGAGAAACGCATCACTTTCCCCGATCCCGTTCCCTAACGGGGATCGAGTTTTCCCGACCTTGAAAAATCCCCGACAGATCTGTTCACAACTGTCACAACCCTCACCACTGATTAGTACTAATCCATGATTAAGCATGTTAACTGACTGATTGACTGAATTACTAAACTGATTGATTGAATGTGCTAGTTTGAATGCAATCCTATATGTTGACTGTTAAATTATCTGTTCATGTTTTATGCTTTAAATTGCAAATTGAAGGCCTTATCGGCGGCCGAATCTGAAATTGTTTGATGTTTTGTGCTAATTAAGATTTATGTGATTTTATGGTATATTTAATTGAAATGTGATTTAGTATGATTAAATTAGATTAAATATTGATAAATTATAAAAGTTGAACTTATTTACGGGAATGCCACTTAGTGGACTTTCATGAGCCTTTTAGTTGATCTCTAATGCTAGCATTACAACACTTCTTCAGCCTATTTTTCTTAGACTTAGCCGACTAGAGAGAGAGTGAGAGGGAGGAAAGAACTTCATTTCAACCAAATTGCTTGGAAACTTGGTAGAATTGAAGAGAGAATTAGCAAATTGAGCCTCTAGACTTGTAATTGAGGAACCTAAGTAAGGATTTCAACCTCTCATCGATGTATTTATGTATTGTCTTGCATGGTTCTTGGGAGTTTAGTGATCTAAGTCAAGTTTTGGTCTAAAAATGTTGAATTGAAGCTTATCTCATGCATGCATGTGCATCTCTTGAAGTTTGAGGTTGTTTTCAAAGAAATTCTTGCATGCATGTCCTTATAATTGTTATAGTCCATGAATTCATCTTGTTATAGAAAGAATTGGCTCATTTGTTCATGTTTTGGAAGCTTTAAGTTGATTTAATTCATACATGTTATGTTTTACATTATGTTCATGGAATTTGTTTGAATTGTGTTTAATTGACTCACCTTTGGGCCTTGATTTTTCAAATTGAGCTTTGAATCATGTTATATTATGAGTTTTGAAGTGTTTTCCAGAAAATTGGCCTAAAAGGGTCGAATTTGATACATTAAAACTTGATTTTGAACTTGAGGTTCAAATCTGAAAATTTCAGATTTTGGACTCCTGCTCGAGCTGGAAATTCATGTATCCAGCACTTTTGTTGTGTTTACAGTACGCTCGAGCGGGGTTTTGCACGCTCGAGCGAGGACTTGTGTCACACGCTCGAGCGGGTGTCGAGCGCCCATCGAGCGTGATTTTCACACATCCAGTACTTTTGTAATACGCTCGAGCGGGAAAGTTTACGCTCGAGCGGAGCCTTTTGTTTGCATGTCCGCTCGAGCGGGGAAACCTACGCTCGAGCGAGAACTCTGTTTTCTGAAAACTCTGAAAATGTTTTTAAATTGCATCTTTGCATCCTCATTCCATTTTAGGCATTCTTAGGCCTAGTTTAAGGCATCTTAATGAGGATATTGATGTAGAACCACACCGAGTCAAGATAGGGATTAAGTTATTTTTTTTCCCAACTGTGTGGCTTAGCGTGTGTTCACTCTGTAACTGTGTAGGGTTGGCATTCGGGGACGCGTACTAGCTTATCCGTAGGCCAGAACTCTGTGAGTAACAATGTTGTAAAGATATGTTCAATTGATATTACTTTCTGAACAAATGACTGTACTGCTTTATGAAATGACATTGTTTACTGAATGAATGTTTGTCCTATTTGTGAACTGTATTCGTGGCATCCATAGCAATATACTATTGCTGAACTGTTACTGCTACTGTTACAGAGATCTCTGTCGGTTCCCACGTTCGGAACCATTACTGATGGGCATCATTGACTGCTCGGTTTGTTAAGACCTACTGTACTGTTTTGCTATTGGGTGTACCACATATGACTATTGTAGTTTCTAAATTACTGTGTGGCATGATTTATGAGCCACAAACTGAATGACTGATATACTGTTTAAATGACTGTTTTCAATACTGAAAGGACATTCATTCTTAACCTCTTTACGCATATGTTATTCACTGGCCTTTAACTTATTGCTCATATATATATGTAGATGTACAGGCACCGGTCCGTTGCTAGAAGCGTCAAGGTAAACTCCAGTTTTGTCAAGCCAACCAACGTGCCTCACTGAGAGGTTCCAAGTCTTTCAAGCTAGGGCTTTTGGGGTGTTTTAGTTTTCCCCCTTTTTGTTTATGTTCTGTATAGACTGAATGATGTTGTACTGTACTGTTCT